TAGGTGCGTGCATAACACAGAGTTGATGGGATGAGATGCCACACCCATGAAAGTACTACCCATTATAGGACTAGAGAGACTCTATGTTGCTGGCTTTGAAGAAGCCAGCTTCCATATTACAAGGGAGCCTGCAAGAGGGCCAGGTGGAAACGGACTGCAGGTAGCCTCTAGGGGCTGGGTGGCCCCACATTGACAGCCAGCAAGGGGAATCTCCTATGTGCAACCACAAAGAATTGAATTCTGCCAACAACCACAGGAGCTTAGAAAAGGATCCACGATCCAGAAAGAAATGCAGCCCAATCGTGATTCTAATGGTGGCCTCATGAAACTCCAACCAGAGCACTTAGCTAAGTCATTTCTGAACTCCTGATCCTTGGGACAGTATGTTATGAATGAATGCTTTCTAAATCCATTACTAAATGGATTTAGAAATCCATTTAGTATTTGGCAAATAGTTACCTGACAATAGAAAATGAATATAAACATCCTTCTATTTTAGATAAAAAAGATAGATAGTAACATAACATTTTATGTCAAAAGGACATTAGCAGGTATTAAAGTGATGCCTCAGTGATATAGTTGATTCTAATGGATCATTTTACCTATTATAATCCAGAGCAAAGGAAAAAAAGGAAGCAGGGAAAGATTCCATAGAAGAAGGAACCAGGTGTCTGAAGCATAGAGGTCTAACTCTTTGCAACTCATCCTGTGCCTAAAAAATGGGAAGAATAGGCTATATATTATTAATTAATGACAGAAAATGCCAAAGCGGCATTGGCATCACTATATTAAAACTTAATGCCCCAGTATATCATTTATAACCACCTAAAATTGAACTGAAGCTATAACTGGTTTTGAAAGAGTGCAGCAAAGCAAGATTATGAAACAGGTATATTGATATTTGTGTGACCTTTTGACCATTTGTTCTCAAATGTGGCTTTCTGTTCACTGTCTGTTATAATGTAAAATATTTTTAATAAATTAAGGACTTCAGATTAAAAAAGAAGAAAAATTCCTAAGCATCATCCCAGGGTTAACTGAATAAAAATCCTCAAAAATAAGACCTGCTACCTCTCTCCAACCCCTACACACACACATACGCCCACACACAACACACATGCACTTCATATACACACCAAAGACTTCATGAGGTTCCAATGTAGCTAGCCTAGTCATTCGTATTTGCCATGATAGAGCTCATCACTAACAGGTCACTTCTTTTTGTGCTAGAAGCACCTTGTATATGTTATATATCTAGTTCAATGGTTCTCAATCTTGCCTGCACAATATAATTACTTGAAGAGCTTTATAATTCCTAATGCTGAAGCTTTTTCCTAGAGCAATTACATCAGAATCACCAAGCACAGTAGCCACTATTTTTAATTTGTAAAGCTCCCCAGATGGTTGCAACATGCATTGGAGTTTGAGACTGCTGATCTGTAGATAATAGTTTGCATTTTCTGCATCCTTCCTAATACGTAATTATGTAGTCCAAAACCCAGACACTCAGACACTGCCTGGGAGGTATGTAGGCCAACCATGACTGTCCCACTTTGACGGCTCATACAGCTGAGGTTGACCATTTGGGACCACACTACAATAACTCCTTTTTATTGAACTTCATGTTTATTATATTTCTTTCTTTAAAAAGTGCAATCTAGTTATCATTATCCCAGTTTATAGACAAAGACACATGGTCTCCTGAGTTAGAGGGAACTGCCCAAATGAGTAACATGACCTGAGGCTGAGTGACACCAAAGTTTATGATGCCTGCACAAAACCAGTGATTCTCAAAGTGTGGTCTCTGGACCAGTAGCATCAGCATCACCTGGGAACTTGTAAAAAAAAAAAAAAAGCAAATTCTGTGACCCAATCCCAACCCTACTAAGTCATAATCTTCCAAGATGGGGCCCAGGAATCTGTGTCTTGACAAGCCCTTCAGGTGATTCTGAGGCTCATTATAGGTAGACAGTGTACTATATTCTTCTGTCTCTATCAGCTGCTCACCTTTGGAGACTCAGCATCTGGCAAGAGACCTAAAAATGTGTGGGAGCCTCAGTGAGTAAGATGGGGTGAGGGAGGAGGTTTTTCTCTCGCTATCTTCCCTTCCTCTCATTTCCAATTTACATTAACAATCTATGTTGAAAATGTGAGGGGATGTATCAGAGATACCATATGGGGAAAAAAAATGGTGGAGTTATGCTGGTCATATTTACTTGCAGGGGTGCCTGACTATGTTGAGCTACTTTCACACAAGTGTGACCATTTTAATATGTTGACGAATGGTTTATCCTTTCAATCAAAGTATGGAGAGTTTTCAAAGTTTCGTTAAAAATGAGTATCCCAACTGTTTCCAGGGAAATGAGTTTGTGATCTTAAGGGCTTTGGGGTAATTGGTGTTCAGGGAACCAAGGCAGTTGGTTTGCTTTCTCTGATGGAAGCTGCTTCAGTTTACTACCATGCTATAAAACCCAAGTGCCGCTGACCTGCTTAGTGTATTTCTGCTATGCTTAGGGTTCATTTATTAGAACTGTACATTTGACTAGGGGGAAATCAAAATTAAAAGGCCACTCGTGTTTGATTTATCAGAGATGTCTATTAATATTTTCTGAGCAAACTGCAAAGTCTTTTCTTTTAAAGAAGTATATAAAATAGGCTTTTGGCATATTCAGGTCTGATGGAAATTTGTCTCATGGGGCGGGGTGAGATGGGAGAAAGAGAAAGCAATAAAGATAGAGAAGAGAAAAAAAATAAAGAGGAGAATGGGGAAGAGCTGAAAGGAGACATTAATTCACAAGGGGAAGAGACAGAAGAGGTAAACCAAAAAAACAAAAGGAGAGAAAGAAAGGAGGAGTGAAGAAGTAAGAGGTGGGGTTAGAAGGATTAAAAAAGGGGAAAGAAAAGAGTTTGGGAAAAGCGGGGAAGGAGAGAAAAGGAAGAAGAGAAGGACATATGGGCAACAAAAAATAAAATAAAGCAATGAATGCAGACTTCAGAGCCTAGCAATTTATTGTGAAGTGGCATTTGTATTAGACATGCTGCAGAGATGCTGGCTCCAAAGGTTAATAATGGCAGTAATCATGATTCCAATTTATAGCAAATGCAATGAAAGGCAGCCAGACCCCAAACAGAGAAACCCTACGGGATGGCAGTGGAATAATAACATAGCAGCAGTCGAGGAATACAGGGATGCCAGGAGATTGGATTCAGTTCTCCTGTGTTCGACAACTATTTTGTATCTGGTGTACAATCCAATGTTAAAAAGAAAAAAAAAGTATACTTATTACTAGCTGTCTGAATCAGAGCAAAGAAGTTTAGGTGTTCACATGAACACATTTTAAGTCTTATTCTGTGATTCGCCTCCTCTCAGCACTGACTTTAGGTCCAGATTGATCTTTTACACCTCCTTTCTTTTCTGTCCTTGCTGCTCATTGTTTCTCTACTGCCAGTGGTCAGTACCGCTGTTTCATTGCAAATGCCTGCTGTCTCTGAAGCAGAGCCGTTACAGAATAGGCATAACTACTCATCCTCTTTCCTAGTTGTCAAAGCCCTTTTCTCTTTATGCAGTTTTATTTATCTGTATTGTCTTGATAGATTATCCATCAAGATTCCTTTTAATCAGCGGTCTGTGTGTGTGATGAGCGCTCATCTCCATTATCATCTCCTCTGCCCCCATCTATTACCACAAAGTCCTAGTTCTTTGCAGATCATTAAGCTTTGGAGGAGAAACACACTTACTCTGCATAATAGAGGGAGAAAAACTTAGAAAGCCCAGGGCAAGGAGAAGGGGGTGAGGAGCAGAAATGGGAGAAAGACAGACCCCATTCATTCAGACAGATGGTGGAAACTTGTGTGCAATGTGCATGTGGAAACCCTATAAAAATAGTCTGCAGTGTCAACTACCGGTATGAATTCTCTGAGTAAATTGGTGTTGTGGATCCCAAAGAAGAGGCAGAGATTCTTATTTGGTCTGCATAAGGTTGGACAAAGGCAGCAGTTGTGGGGGGTCAGATGTGAAGAGGATGGAATTAGAAGAAATCCTTGGACATCACAGACTTCTACATGCCATGGAACTGGGGATCTTAGGGGATGGGTTTCAAAAGGGATCAAAGCAATTTAATTTCGATTTCCAGGGGTGCCTGTAGCTACGTTCGTTTCCATATGTATAAGAACAAACTGTTGGGGGGTGTATGCTATTTGATACATAAACATTTGATGCCTTTAAGGATGACCTGTTTTCAAACAGATTCATGACAACAAGTTTTCTCTCCCTGTTCAGACCATAAGCTCCGTAAGGATAGAAGTGTATCTTCTCTGACTTTTGAATAACCTGCAGCATCTAGTTTAACCCTTAGCACATACGAAGTGTTTAGTAAGAGACTGTGTCTCATAGACTGCCTGGATCCACTCACTTTCTGTCACCCCACCCTCTGGGGTTTTTCCGGGCTCTCATTCCCTTTTGGAGATGATTCACCCAGGAGGGAGGGGCATCTGCACACCTGGATTGCAGAGAACCAGGTACAGTGATGACCTACAGATACCTCTGGTTTACAGACATTGGCAGCATGGTTTTTTCAACTATGAAAGTTACAGTAATTATCCTCCAATGCCAGGAATGGAATCCCTTGATAGACCTCAATCTATATTCAAGACTCAAGTCAAGCACCAGCCTGTATTTAAAAACTAAAGAAACAATGGAGGTTTATTGAAATTATGTCATTATAGTTGACAAAAAGAAAATATTTCAACCAAGAACTGAATTGAATAAACCTTTCTCAGAAAATCTCTTTGTTTAATGGGCAATTACAGTGTACCAGCATGGGTCTGCCTCAGAAAACAAAGTCCACAGATACTGATTATATTCCTATCTAGGAAGGATCAGTATGAAATACACATATGATGGGGCTCTCACAGTATGGGATATTTTCCCCCTTTTCCTCTCATGTCTCAATATTCCTCTGGGAACTGTGTGAAAGTAAAGTCAAAAAGAAAGTTCTTACGTTCTTAAATCCTCTGTAAAGGATCTGAAGCTCTTTCTTGGTAAATTTGCTCTGGGCTTCCAGAAGCTCAAGGGCCTCAGGCCGATGCCTGACGGTGGCCATCTCCAGTTCATCTTCCACGCTGTCTGTGGAAGAAAACAAGAAAGAGTCTTAGGACCAGCCGTTGCTCACCGAGGCTTACACATAGCAACACAGGAAAACAGAAGAACATGTCTGCTAATGTCTGTGATTGTCCACAGAGGAAGGACCCTCACAATGCCAATAAGGCCTTTAAATTTCCCAGTTTAAACACATTAAGCTAAAACACTTGTACATGATTTCTTTTGCATATTCTTGTCATTAATGTAGATATTACCACTCTAGCATTTTTTTTTTAAGATAAAAAAGAGCACAGGAATTTATTTCAGATAATCAGTGCATTATATGATTACTTCAAATAAAAAGTTTAAGTAGCAATATACATTACTCTATAAATCTAACAGTGTAGTAACATATATTTCTTTATTTTTTCCAATGTTTAAGTTCAGAGGTACATGTGCAGGATGTTCAGGTTTCTTACATAGGTAAATGTGTGCCACAGTGGTTTGTTGCACAGATCATCCCATCACCCAGGTATGAAGCCCAGCATCTATTAGCTATTCTTCCTGATCCTCTCCCTCCCCCAACAGGTGCCCAGTGTGTGTTGTTCCCCGGCAGTGTGTCCATGTGTTCTCATCAATCAGCTCCCACTTACACATGAGAACATGCAGTGTTTGGTTTTCTGTTCCTGCATTAGTTTGCTGTAGATAATGGCTTCCAACTCCATCTATGTGCCTGCAAATAAAATGATCTCTCTCCTTTTTATGGCTGTATAGTATTCCATGGTGTATATGTACCACATTTTCTTTTTCCAATCTATCATTTGTGGGCATTTAGGTTGATTCTGTGGCTTTCCTATTGTGAATAGTGCTGCAACGAACATATGCATGCATGTATCTTTATAATAGAATGAATTACATTCCTTTGGGTATATACCCTGTAATGGGATTACTGGGTCAAATGGTATTTCTGCCTCTAGGTCTTTGAGAAATCACTGCACTATCTTCCACAATGGTTGAACTAATTCACAGTCCCATCAATAGTGTAAAATTTTCCCTTTTTCTCTACAACCTCACCAGCATCTCTAGCATTTTTAAGGTACAGTTAGAAAAACATAAAAGATCACCAATAGTCCAACCTGGAATTTGTTTCTATATAACAACCACTAGTTATAAACAATGGAATTGTCATTTAATAATAATCAGTTTTGTGCCCTATGTATAATGCAACTACAAGATAGACTCTGCTAATGTTCTCTAAGGATTCCATTGAAATCAGATATTTTGCACAGCTACTTGGGAGGCTGAGGTCGGGGGATTGCTTGAGCCCAGGAGGCTGAGGCTGTAGTGAGCAGTGATGGCACCACTGCAGTCCAGTCTGGGTGACAGCATTAGACCATGTCTCAAACAAACAAACAAACAAAAATAGAACCTTAGACTGTCAGAATTGAAGGACATCTGAAGAAAGATATAAGGAGATAGAGAAAGAAGGAAACCTCCCTAATTCATTCTATGAAGCCTAATAACAAAACCAGCAAATGACATAACTAAAAGAGAACACTACACACTACAGACTGATATCCTTGATGAACATATATGTTAAAATTCTTAACAAAATACTAGCTAGCCAAATCCAACAACATATCAAAAAGAAAATTCACCATGACCAAGTGGGTTTCATACCAGGAATGCAGGGATGGTTTAACATATGCAAGTCAATAAATGTGATACACCACATAAACAGAATTAAAAACAAAAATCACATGATCATCTCAGTAGATGCTGAAAACCATTCAACAAAATCCAACATTCCTTTATGATTAAAACTCAGCAAAATTGGCATAGAAGGCACATACCCTAATGTAATAAAAGCCATCTATGACACACCCACAGGCAACGTAATATTGAATGGGGAAAAGTTGAAAGCATTCCCTTTGAGAATGGGAACAAGACAATGATGCCCACTCTCACCACTCCTTTTCAACATAGTATTGGAAGTCCTAGCCAGAGCAATCAGACAAGAGAAAGAAAGGGCATCCAAACTGGTAAAGAAGAAGTCAAACTCTCGTTGTTTGTTGATGACATGATTGTTTACCTTGAAAACCCTAAGGACTTCTCCAGAAAGCTCCTAGAACTGATAAAAGAATTCAGTGAGATTTCTGGATAGAAGATTAATGTACAAAAATCAGTAGCTCTTCTATACACTAACAGTGGTCAAACAGAGAATCAAATCAAGAACTCAACCCCTTTACAATAGCTGCAAAAATATAAAATACTTAGGAATATACCTAACAAAGGAGTCAAAAGGCCTCTACAAGGAAAACTACAAAACACTGTTGGAAAAAAATCATAAATGACACAAACAAATGGAAACACATCCCATGCTCATGGATGGGTAGAATAAATATTGTGAAAATGACCATACCGCCAAAAGCAATCTACAAATTCAACGTAATCCCCATCAGAGTACCACCATTATTCTTCCCAGAATTAGAAAAAACAATTCTAAAATTCATGTGGAACCAAAAAAGAGCCTGCATAGCTTCATAGCCAAAGCAAGACTAAGCAAAAAGAACAAATCTGGAGGCCTCATACTACCTGATTTCAAACTATACTATGAAGCCATAGTCACCAAAATGGCATGGTACTGGTATACAAATTGGCACATAGACCAATGGAACAGAATAGAGAATTTGGAAATAAACCCAAATACTTACAGCCAACTGATCTTTGACAAAGCAAACAAAAACATAAAGTGGGGGAAAGGATACCCTTTCAACCAATGGTGCTGGGATAATTGACTAGCCTCATGAAGGAGAATGAAACTGGGTCCTCCTCTCTCATCTAATACAATAATCAACTCAAGATGGATTAAGGACTTAAATCTAAGACCAGATGCTGTACAATTTCTAGAATATAACATTGGAAAAACCCTTCTAGATATTGGCTTAGGCAAGGATCTCATGACCAAGAACCCAAAAGCAAATGCAATAAAAACAAAGATAAATAGCTGGTACCTCATTAAACTATAGAGCTTTTGCATGGCAAAAGGAACAGTCAGCAGAGTAAACAGACAACCCACAGAGTGGGAGAAAATCTTCACAATCTATACATCTGACAAAGGACTAATATCCAGAATCTACAATGAACTCAAATCAGTAAGAAAAAAAATCAACAATCCCATCAAAAAGTAAGTTAAGAACATGAATGGACAATTCTCTAAAGAAGATATACAAATGACCAACAAACATGAAACAATGCTCAACATCACTAATGATCAGGGAAATGTAAATCAAAACCACAATGCAGTACCACCTTTCTCCTGCAACAATGGCCATAATCAAAAAATCAAAAAACAGTAGATGTTGGTGTGGATGCAGTGAACAGGGGAACACTTCTACATTGCTTGTGGGAATGTCAACTAGTCCAGCCATTATGGAAAACAGTGTGGAGATTTCTTAAAGAACTAAAAGTAGAACTACAATTTGATCCATCAATCACAATACTGGGTATCTACCTAAAGCAAAAGAAGTCACTATTCAAAAAAGATACTTGCACACGCATGTTTACAGTAGCACAATTCACAGTTGCAAAATCACGGAACCAACCCAAATGCCCATCAATTAACGAGGGGATAAAGAAACTGATATATTTATATAATGGAATACTACTCAGCCATAAAAAGGAATGAATTAATGGCATTTGGAGTGACCTGGATGAGACTGGAGACTATTATTCTAAGTGACATAACTCAGGAATGGAAAACCAAACATCATGTGTTCTCACTGATTTGTGTGAGCTAAGCTATGAGGACACAAAAGCATACGAATGATACAATGGACTCTGGGGACCTCGGGGGAAGAATGGGAAAGAGGAGAGGGATAAAAGACTACAAATATGGTGCAGTGTATACATGGGTGATGGGTGCACCAAAATCTCACAAATCACCACTAAAGAACTTACTCATGTAGCCAAATACCACCTACACCCCAATAATTTATGAGGAAAAAAAGAATTGAAGGACATCTGCTTATTTTACAAGTAAAGTGAAAAAAGAAATCAGGTATTTTGACTTGAGCTACAAAATAAAATGTTCAGATTAGGTGCTGACATGGGTAAAGTAACCAGCAGCCAGTCGGTTTCATGGGTACATACTGGATGGACAGGGGTCTACGGGATGTTCTATTTAGGTCCATTTTGTAGTCAATAGAGTCAATAGGTATAGATAAGCTTTAAAATACTGTACTTTGCTTTGTGAATTATGTTTACACTATAATTTCTCAAGGATGTTTTGTGCAAAAGGGAATTTCGTGCCCACAGATGTTTGGAAAATGCTGTGAACTTTAATTTTGTCACAAAATATTAAAAAATATAGGTTTGAGAAGACCTGTAACAAAGAGTCCTGTTTAACTTTGCATAACCCAAATGACCCCAAAGGTATTTGTCCACAGAACCTTTTCTGGCCCAAGTAACATCTGATAATATCTGCACATTTGCCCTAGGGTCATGTAAGCACAAGTCCGAAAGATTTGGAAATATATTAGGGTTCAGGTACTTGTGTCTCAAAGAATATCATCCTTCAGTCCAGCTCCTTTGAAGTAGGGTCAGATGGTGGCCTATAGGAATTCTCTCTGTTGTGTAAACCAATCCACACCTCAGATGAAGAACTTAGCAGGACTAAAGACATCCAGGCTCAGTATGAAGCCATGGCTTCCCTTTTCTATCCTTTCTTCTTGACTATACATTCTAGATTCAGAGAGAAGGATCTAAGGTAACAGTCAGCTCCTCTCGTCCCAGGACCACTAGGACCCCAATCCCTTGTCCCATGGGTCAGTTGGAAATGTAGTCCTCTTTACCAAAGTCGAGTTATTTTTGACACTAATAATGCTACCTCTTGCTAACATCTTTTCTTCCTTATTGCTCTGCCTCACTGAGAACATTGAGGGGCCAAAGCTCTCACTTAGCAAAGAAGAGAAGGTCAGTGGTACCCTAATCTTAGCATATCTTAATTATTGCCCTCAAGGAGTTTACCAAAACAACAACAACAA